CATGCTACACCAGCTCTGTTTTGCTCGTCCACCAGCTAGACCAGCACCATACCAGCTCTAACTGGCATAAACCAGCTTGGACCAACATGAAATTCATGATGCTTTATGCTGGATTTTTTAGCAGGGTATGCTCTGCTGTAAAATATTTCATCAGCTAGAAATTGCTCTTTGGGAGTGCAATCTCTATAAAAATGAGCAAGAAGTGTGAGACTCCAGGTGTTTTTTCACTGTCAGATGTTCTTTGTATGTGTGATGAGTTTACCATTTTTCACCGTCCCTCACAGGACGGAAAACAGCCTGCGGACCCTGACAGTGGGGTCTCGGGTCCCCTGTGTCAGCCCCCGGCAGAGTCTGGCGTCCCCCTCCCTGCGATCAACCTGTTCTTCAAGGACGGCGAGCTGAAGGAATGGAGCGGCCGAGCGCCTCCCTCCCTACACATCTCTGCCCCACAGAGAGATCAGCCCACATAAAATACCACTCTCAAAATCACCCTGTTCAAATCCACACCATTCTCCACTCACTTATGTCATGAGTTACCATGTTACCTGTGGCACTCAATCACACACAGCCATCAAGTGCTGCCGCCACCCATCACATCTGGATGCGAGCGTCCAGAGTAACTCAAAAATCCCAACGGTTTCAATCAAACATCTCATTCACCCAACGTCACACGAATACAAAATAGAAAAGCTATTTACAAATGATCCTATATTGACCTTTTAATGTGTATATAGACTTTGCTTGGAAAACATAGGACCAATCCTGGGGTTGGATAAAGTCACCCTACTCGTATTGTCATGTTTTGTGACCTGATGCATGATATCACTGCACAAAATCTCAAAAACTACTTGACTGAGGGTTTGAAAACATGAAGTTGAGGTTTACTTTTTGCACAAAGCCTGTGGATGACATTCAGGTATAATCGATTTGTTTTTTTATTTTCTTTGTAAATCAAGACCTTAGTTGGTACTCGATTACAGTCTATTTGGTTGAGTCGTATTCCAGCTGGAAAACCTGTCTCTCAATTCTGCTTAGCAGAGGAGCATTTCTGCTTCACTGAGACCAAAGACCAACTTGTTTTATGTTGATTTTTTACCATTATTTTACTTTCTTGCTGCCTTATTTGCGTTGTGCCCAGTAGACTGCTGTGTCACCAAATGCATTTATTTCCACTTGGCCAGTTTTGACACGTTCAATTCGTTTTAGTCTAGCTCAGGCACACAAACCTGCAATTAGTGACACGGTTATCGAATATCAAATCAGTACCTAGATGTGTTGAATATCAGTATAGGTTTAGAGTTTGTTGTGCGAGTATTATGCAGTAATACAGCATTAAAATCCCCCTCAGTGGCCTGACCTTTTCCCTCATGCCTTTACTGAGGGTGTTGCCAGTGTTTCCCCAAACAAACCTTATAGTGGTGTATGATGATGATGAAGACCGATTAGAGATCTTGATGCTGCATGATGAGTGTGTAGAGTCGTTGTGTGTATTGTGCGCCGTTCTCTCCTCATCTCTTTATTTCCCCTGTCCATTCCTTCCTGCATCGATATGATCCAAAACAACAGCGGCCCCGTGCCTGACCCTGTCACAGTGTTAGGGAAAAAAATAACCGATAGTTTTATAAAGTCACCCTGCATTTTAGGAAATCTCTGTTGTAGTGTACTTGATGGGACTGTGTACATGCTCTTGTAATTAAATGGGTACAAAAGTTACATTTCCCCTCTCACGCCATCCCATTCTCCAAAATATATGTCATAACAAATGAATATGTAAAAAGTATATGAAAGTACTAATAAATATGTTACAAAAACACCAATTATAAAGTGTTTGCATGCTGCGTTTCATTTCGAAAGCTGTTTTCTTCAGGTTGTTGATTGCTCAGCTACAGGCAGGCCGGCTCCCCGGTGACTGTAATTACTATAGCAACACAAATTCGGGGTGTCACCAGGGGGCAGTGAGGCCCTGAAATGGGGCATGTCATCATTGGAATAGAGGGGGAGAAAAAGCATCTGATGATGCCTGTCAACAATTTGTGTTGAGCTGTTCTGTATTTTCCATCCTACAGTATGTGCAAGACCACTGTACGTAGTGGTTTTACTTTTTGTCATTAATTTTATAATTAATCTTCTTGTAGCTTAATAATTGAAAATGGTTTTATCTGGAGACTTGCTCTTTAAAACTAGGTCAGTAACTGAAGTCAGAAACTTTCAATATTTCAAGAAATGTGTGTATGGGAGGAAATTTGACACAGCGGGTGGTTACACTCCATTTTTATTGTAGATGTTCTTGCAACCTATGAAACTTTTAGCCAGAGAACTTTCTTTCTACCCTTTCATATTTCTAAGCAGTGCTTAATAAAACAAAACTGGCACGATCTACATTAATTACTATGTTGATGTAATTTGTCACTTAATTGGAAAGAGGTTAAATACTTTTATTTACAGTTGAAAAGACTTGAGGCTCACTTTAAAATTCATAGACCTCATTTGTGAACAGGGGTGTTTGTAGACTTTCATCAGTAGCACAAGCCCCATTAAAATGTGTCCCAATATTATACTCTTGTGATAATGTTATGGATATAAATTGCCTATACCTGTAGTAAGTCATTCACAACCTGTACACGCAATAAAGAGATGCTAAGGTGTGTTTACACCAAGGACGACAACTATAATATAACTACTACTATACTGATAACTATATAATTATATAATGATAACTGCTTTCACGTCCACACCAAGACAATGACGCTCTGTATAAGCGCTGTTTATGTCGTCTATGTTTTAAATGTGCAAGCTCAGTTGGATTCTGACTGGCTGTCAGTGGTTTTATTGTTCATCAGTTGGAAAATAAACTGCAGAAATGTTGTCTGTTGCTTTGCTGCCCTCACATGTTATCAGAAATGATCTTTTTCCCACTTCTGAAGTCGTGATTTCAAGCTGTTGATGGAAAGAATAGGAATCAAGGACAACATGGTTTAGTCTTGCCTATTTCTTGGGGAAATCTTATTAAAGTCAAAATGTTTTGAAGAAATTTAATTTTTAATAAAATGTAGTGTCATATTATTCTCTCTGAGAGCTTGCTGATGATTTTTGAATTTCGGTCAAATATGCTATTTTCTATTTTTTATGAAATTGTGTTTGCTCATCTGCAATACGTCTCTAGGACGTTTCCGTTCTGACGTTAAACTGACATTTAGAACATGTCTTTAAGATGTTTATGATTTAGAATGAATGTAAACCTGACATCTTAAAAACATTTGTCAGATGTTTGTACACAGCAGATGCTTTCCAGATGGAGCTCTTGCAGACGTATGTGTGGTATCTATAGACTATAGCCTATCTGTTGTGGTAAAAAACTAATAAAGAATACCAGCCACATCAGCAATCATTCTCCCCTCCACCATGTATAAAGTTTATGGCACGCCTAACTCGGAAACTCGGGTATCAAAATTATTTTCCCAGTTTCCCAGTAAATACGACTTTAGAGGGGTGTTCATGTCCAATATCTGACTAGGAAACCCGTATTTATAATCCGATAGCATGTTAAGGCAGCATTAATGCTCAATTTTTTTAAAGCACGATATACTGATTGGCTGTCAATGTTTTTATTGTTCGGCTAGATAAAGTTGTTCTGAAAGTGATTCCAATGATATCATTCTTTATCGTTATAGTTCCTATTCTCATAGAATTAGAGCAATTATTAAAATGTTATAGGCTATAAGTTATCATCCTTAGCTATCGTCCTTATTCACTGACAAAAGATAGACATTTGCTAGTTTTGTTTCTTACTGTAGAATATATCCAGATAGCACACGTACATCACGGAGACGTCTATTTGATGTGCGTGTTTACATCTGGAAGACGTAGTGTTTGGTCATCTGCAATACGTCTATTTCCTGTCAGATGTCAAATAGACGTTTAGAAGATGTCTTTAAGACGTAATGATTTAGAATGTATGTTAAACTGACATCTTAAAGATGTCTATCAGATGTTAGTAAAATCAGCTTTCCAGATGAAGTGATCTTTAACAGACATCTTGCAGACGTATGTGTGCCATAACACATTCACCTCATCCTCCAGCACTCTTTTTATTTTCTGAAAAACAATTCAGTGAGTGAGTGATGCGTTCGAATGAATCAAACTGAATCACAAACTGTTTCAGACCATTTTGCAAACCCGCTTGATCGATTAGATCAAGTGATTTATTGGCGAATCGTTCTGATTCTAAAACACAAATGCCATGATTGCTGAAATATTTTGGTTTACTGTAAATAATACAGTGAAATATGGCTGAAATATCGCTTTGCCCGACAAGGATTTATCAGTATTGGGTCTATGGCCCAAAATGTACTTTATAATTATTAATTAGGCTACATTATTATTGCAAGTTAATAACCTATGTTTTTGCTTAGGCTATTTATTTGTTAGACAGCTTTAGTTTCAGTGGGTCCTCTGATCTAGCGTTGCAATAGGCCTATATTTAGTAAAACAAGAGCACAAATGCGGTTGATACTTCACATATTAATGATGGCTTGATGGTGTCTGTCTAAACTGCTTTAAATCATGTTATGCTTTTCCAGTAATGTCACTTTAAATGAGGGAGCGCGTGTAAGTGTGTGACTGTGGTTTTATTTCTTCAGCTCTGCCTGTTAGTTTAGTTCGCGTATCTGATAGACCCGAGCAAACAGCAGCAGGTGCAGTTCAAACCATCGGGAGCATTTTGACATTCGCTGCACGAGAGACAAACCCGCTTTACGTTACTGTAAAGACGCGAATAACGTGTTTGCCTTTCTCTATTCGGATTCCGCAGAAACATTTGATTCATTTCATCAGTATGAAGCTTTGAAGAACTTGGAAACATCAGGTGTGATAGGACTACTAAGTAGCCTAACTAACTGCGTGGAGCAACACTCATTGGATGAAAACTACACACCGGATGTAATGCATCTTACTTATCCCAAACAATAACGTTCTCTTCTTAGGTAAAGTAGCCTACTTTGTTTTGGTCTGTTATTGTGATGCGCGCGGACCTAGCTTTAGTAAGCAACCATATGCGCAAAGCGAGCATCGCAGCGAATCTACTTCCAGATGTCCATCTCTCTCTGCTCGTAACAGGTGGAGCTCATTTCACTCCATCTGTCCGCTGCTGAAGTGGCATATATGGGCAACCAGGTTGACAAACTGTCACACCTAAGTTACGCCGAAGTTCCCACGACTGACCCGAACGGACTGGACACGGAGGAAGACGGCCCGCGGATCGGGGTCTCGTACATTTTCGCGACCGACGACGACGAACTGGACGATAATCATCATCAACATGTCGATGGACCGGAGCAAAAGGAGGAAGAGAAGCCGTACAACGAGCTGGGCTGCGCAGTTTACCACCGAGACGAGTGCATTTACGAGAAGAGTGGCAACACTAGGGAACTGGAGACGTTTAGCCCGGAGAATTTACTGAACAAATGTAAGCCCGGAGACGTTCTGGAGTTCGTGTCCACCGGCCAGTACCCGCACTGGGCTGTGTACGTCGGGGACTTCCAGGTGGTGCACCTGCATCGGGCGGAGGTCAAGAACAGTTTTCTGACCGATGCTAGTCAGGGCAGGAGGGGCAGGATCGTAAACGAGCTGTACAAATTCAAACCCCTGAGTTCTGACATGGTGGTGCAGAACGCAATGGAGCAGGTGGGAGCGAAAGACAGAGAATTAAGTTGGAGAAATTCGGAGTGTTTCGCCGCCTGGTGCAAATTCGGTAAACGGGAGTTCAAGATGGGAGTGGAGATACGGATAGGAAAACAGCCGTACAGATTAAAGATCCTTTTGCCTGACAAACAGTTTCATATGCTGGAGTTTCAGAGTTTGGAGGATTTGATCATGGAAAAGAGGAGAAATGATCAGATCGGTAAAGCGGCTGTTATACAGGAGTTGGCGCATCATTTAAGCCATAGCGGAAGTGAAGCGAACGTTCATTGACATGCAACAGGTAGCGGAAAGAAATGTTTCACAACAACATAACATATCCGTGATTCTCACGAAAGCCGTTCAGAACATTTCCCTGGAAAATCATTTTAACTTAAATAACTGTTTTAAGAACACATTGTGTCAGTACAGGCAGCACACTTGTGATACAGTAGCTCTTCATCATATCACTGCGCCGCTCGCATAGATGTTCTGTTATGTCAGGGACTAGGAGAAGGATGTCACTTAAAGAGTTTGCCAAAAATTGGGTACTAAATAATTTTTTTTCACAACCGCCTTTATAAAAACAGTAAAACACTCTATGGCAATGTGTTAAAAATAATGTTACAATGCAAAACATCTTAATGTTCCTACATGCTTCATTTAGCCTACTTTCGGCCAAATTTTTTTTAGTTTTTTTTTTCAGTTTTGGGGCTTCGTGAGATTCATGACATCACGTATTATGATGGTTCATCTGACATCACAAATTATGATGACAAATTATGTTAGAAAAATTTCACACTCAGTTATTAAAAAAATTCTAGTCAGATGATGGTATTGTTTTTAAAATGGCTCTCAAGTTGTAAGCTGTTCTTTATCATGTATAATCAGGCTCTCTATGAGTTGCAAAATTGCCATAAATCCTTATATGTGGACCTTCCTTTATAAAAGTTTTGGCACAGATGAAATTGCAGCAAGTAAACTGTGACTGAATCCACCTATTTACCCTCTCTCTCAGTTATTCCTGTTTTTCTCATTACACATGAACATAGCTGACCTCACAATTAGCTCTTTAGCTGGGTCAGTATGGTGCATTTCTTAAAGGCAGGGTAGGTGATTTGTTCCAGAAACATTTTTTTGTTATGCTGGTTATTTGTATTTTATGTATAGGCCTATATATAAGTGGTATACATGTTTTTTTTTGTATATAAATCGTCTGTGGAAGGCTTAGGACCATAAGATGTTTGTCCAATCATTGCATTCAAATGTCGATACGATACGATGATATGATGTCCTGTCAAAGTATGTATTTCCATACCTCCGTGCAGCCTGCTCGCGCAGACATCATACGTCATCAGCGCATTTCATGCTATGCAGAGTTAGACAGACGTCAGTCATCAAACACCTTTAAAGGGTCACTTCACCCATTTGCATTAAGGTTTGTATTGTTAGAAACCCAGTCATATATTATAATGATGGTGGAATTTTGCTAGTTTTTTTTCTGAGATGGGAGAAAAAAGGATTTAAGTGTTTTACTTCCGTCCTATCGTGACGTAAATATCGTCATTTTGCGTCACGATAGGACGGAAGATAAATTTCATTGCATATTAAGAAAACTACAGCCTTTAGCTCATTATTATTCAAGGGCGTGGGACCCACTCACCCCACCGGCCTATTACAGATCAGTGGGTGGGACTAAACCTGAAGAAACTAAACTATTAATCCGCCATCTTGCTTGGAAGACAGCAAGCTAAGCTAACAAGCGCTCAAGGAGTTAGATTTACCATAATGCCTGAATTTACGACACACGATATGGAAGAGGAGGATTTTGACAATCTTTTGCTCGAAACTGATGTTCGTGGCTATTTATATGAGCCGCAATATAGTGAAAAGCAGCTGAGGCTGATGGAGGAACAGGAGGCGGACGAGGAGCCCGGGCTGGGTCGAGCTGGGCGGACTGCTGGTGCCTGTGCTCTCGCTGTGCGCTACGGACACAGATAGACTCCGTCTGCTGTCGAGAATTTCAACGATAGCAATTTCTCCTGGACGAAATCTCTGAATCAGACGACCACACGGACGTTTGTGTTGTGATGTGAACCATCCTCGTGTCGCACCTCATGTTCTGACTGAACCAGGTATCATGCAATAATTCACCATATAGAAAGAAATACAAACGAGGAGTAATTCGCTAATGAGTTTGCCAATGTAACGGGGTTCGTTGTTGTGGGAAGAATGAGGCGGGAACCGGCAAACATTTAAACATTTTAATAGTAAAATAAACAAATACAAAACAAAAGTATAAGCCAGCAGCCCCTCACTGTTGGCCACACACAACAGAAACAAAACACAACATAAAATCAGGCCTGTTCCTCAGTCGATCTGCCCTGTCGTCGCTCCTCGTTTTATGCGTCCGCTCCTCGGTGAGAGACGCGAGAGAGACCGGTGCGTCTCATCGGTGTCGTTCATTATCACTCACGCCACCGGCCTCGCACAGTCATCTCACGTGCCTCGGCTCGCCCTCGTCCTGCTCGCCACAGCCAACTAACTAGCTATAAATTTTGTGTAAAATGAATTTCTAACTCTGGTGGCAGCTAACGTTAGCCTTGTAGACGGAAGAGGGATTTGTGATGTTTGCGCTGCTGTTCTGGATTAGTGGGAGTGGCTTGCGGAGCTGTGCAATGTGGTGCATTGTGGGAGTTGTTGTCTTTCATACAAATGCGCCCAAAAGTTATTTTCTGTCTTTTCTCTGTCAAGAGGGCACCAAATTCAAAATTTCTTTTACACTTCGACTACATATATGACCCACTTTCAATAAAGATTAATGTTGAAATGGGTGAAGTGCTCCTTTAAAGGTAGGGTAGGCAATTTCCGGAGAGGCTAGGACAGTGAGCTAGCTTTGAAAGAATATCCCACCCTCCAGAGTGTCTCCAAAGCCACGACTCCTCCAAAACACATGAATGTACACAGCAGGGAGCAAACAAAAGCATCACGAGAGACGGCGTTAAACTACCTAATGTCTCAAAGCACATAACATTACAATAATAATGAACATAAACTACTTAAAGAGCACTGACGCTTATTACCTGACTGCTGCAGATTCATTTTGGCGTTGATAGTGTTGCCATTGTAATGCATAAATTTGAGTCACAAACCGCTCGAAGTAAAACGTCACGGGTTTAGATTACAGCAGTTATGACGTGAACGCAGCATAAGCTTGTTGTGTAGGTTCAGGAGGAACTGTAAAAGGTTTCTGCTGTTTCGGTTGCGGTGCTCGGTGACTGACATCTGTCTTACTTATAACTTGAAATGCGCTGATGACGTCCGTTGTCTGCGTGAGGAAGTATGGAAATACATACTCTGATAGGCAGGTAGGACATCGTATAATTGCATTCAAACCAAATTCAATGATTGATGAACATTTTATGGTCTTACACAGAAGATATAAATATAAATACGTTTAGACCACTTAACTTATTGATTGCTATCAGGATGTGAATAGACTTTCAACCAGCATAACAAAAAACAAAAAAAGTTTCTGGAACAAATCACCTACCCTGCCTTTCAGTAAATGAACATTTGTTTTCCCTTTGACATTACTATACAGGTCTCATTTTTCCATCTGTTTATATTTTGGGACTTTTTTTTTATTGCCAGAGGCCACTTAATATGGTTGGGTTGGAAGGCTGAAAAGGCTAAAAAAAATCGGATAGAAATCATTTGATGTAGTGTTTTAATATTCAGCAAATGCTTTAATCCTGAGCCTCTTCAATACCCTGCAAACTCTGCACGACTTTCATTTGCAAGCCTGCCAAAGTTGGCTTACCTTCTAATTTTCCTCCCACTTGTGAAGTTTACAATTTTCTCTGAGTGTGTGAATTGAATTGATGATGTGAGGCTGTAGTAAAAACAGTTTACTAAGACTGGATTAAATAAATGTATCAAAGGCCAAGGGATAAAATGCCACATCTCTGCTTTGACACTCAATAATAAGAGCCCTAACAAATGCCACAGGCAGTAGTTCATAGCAGTGAGCCGTTCAGTCGTGAGATCATGAGATGTTGATCAGGCAATTGCTTCATCCAAACTGGACTTTGACCTCATGGGAAAACATCAGGTGGTCAAACTTGAAATGCATGGACAATCCGAAGGGTCAAAACACAGTGTCACAGAAACTCAGTATGACTTATCTCTCTACAAAGTATAGCCGTGCCTTTGAGATACGCCACAGATGATGTGTTTTGTTAGAGGAGGAAATCGTGTTTTATGATTTGAGCCCAATCACACTGCCACAGGTCCACACTGAGTAAACACGAGATGCTGGGAAACAGGGAAGTAATTACAAATGCCATACTGTGAGTGAGTAATGGTTGCCCGCAAAGGCAACAAGACAGTCTTTGTGAATCACTGGAAAGCCAACACTATTGCCAGCTTGAGACAACAGCCCCCTAATGAGCACTTAGTCTGTGATGTTTTGAATTGTGATCTGACTCAGTGACATTGCTCTTTGTGCTGTGAGTACAGGTTTCTGCCTAGTCCCTTCAGCTCTTATGTGAATAGTTAGCCATTTCAGCCATAGAGCTGTTTTCAGTTTGTCGTGCTGAAACCCAGAATAGAATTAGCATTAGAAATTCCTTAGGGAATCCATGGCAACCTCCCTGGTTGGCCAACCCATTGCCATTATGATCAAACAGCTCTATTGGTTTGGACTATGCAAGTGTAATATTAGGCCATGGATATAGCCTGGGAAAACCCAGACAACTTCCGGCAAATTTAGATTTGCTCTGAAAGTTAGTCTGGCAAAGAGCTCATTCAAGCCCATTTCCAATCCGTCGAAATCGAGGCACCAATCAGAAACGTTGGGGTGGGCTTTACACGATGACGTCAGCGCTGGGATTTTGAAGCAGATTTTATAGCCTACATTACAAAGATGGATGCCACCGTCGAACATCACTCGTTCGAATCAGCTATCGCGTCTGTTTTAAGCGATTTGAACGTTTCCTTTTTGTCAAAAACCGAGCAAAGAACAACACTCGGAGATGTTTCTGCCGCTCTGCATACGCCATCTCCTTAATCGCTCTGACTGGTTTTAGGTCTATCCGCGACGTCCGTTGGGGACGCCCCTCTGGAAATGATTTGTCTATGACGCTTTGCCAGACCATAACTCAGTACAACTGAGAATGGTCTGGTTTTAACCAGGCTACAAAATCCCAGTATTGTAGCTGCAAATATTCACTAATAAACCAACAAATAAATATAAATATAATGTAAATATTTAAAAAGAGTAGTCCAGTGACACTTATCAAATCCACTGTCCTTATCAGCCGCATGGTTTTTGGCAGACCTTTACGTCACATGACTGGGGTTGAGGTGAACTTGTGA